AATGCTAGGTCCAATTTATTAACACTTGGACAAGAGGGGCTAATAAAGGAAACCAGCAGTACCAACCTCCTGCCGTCGTGGTAATAAGGAAAGAGTGCCCGTAAGGACTAGCCGACAAATATCTTTCAATACCTGAAGTCACATTCATGACACTCTCCCCCCCTTGGGGAAGATCAACATCCTCGTCGATACATACCCGAGTCTAGCAAATTGTCAAGGAAACAATTCTGAAAGTTAACGGAAAGCACACTATGTGGGAAACGCACCGACTTAAATGAGTTATAGAATGACCTCTCCTCTACGTCCAAAGACGTTAAGACTCAGACACCCTCTAGCCATCACCGACAAAGAAATAACTAACGGAGTTAGCCACCTTTGCTGCTCCGATATAGCACACCTTATCTCTCTCCCTTTAAGCCAACTAAAAAAGAGGCAATTGTTTGATGAGAGAGCCCTTAGTGCTATTTTATCCCCATTTATCCCCCAAGGTTCCAAGGATCCACGGTGACAGTATATCTAAATCTCATCCCATGATCACATGTGCTACATCCGAGTACCACTCGACTTACAAAGGAATGATACATCCCTGCTCGCAGGGACATAGGGAGAAAGCCAGAGGCCCAACTTCCCCTGAGCAAGAAATCAACCCCGTCAGGAAGATTTAGACAACTACTATAAACTGGCAGATTAAGTTGTTTACACGACCATGCCCCTTTTTTAAAATGAGTCATCGAGAGAGAGACAGGGACTTGTGATCAGTCTATAATAGTTATCCCCATGGTTATGGATTGAACCCATGCACTGAAGTGCCGAAGTCAACCTGTTAAAACTGACCCAAGTACTAATGAATGAAAGAAACGACACTTTGATGTATAAAAATATATTACTTTATTAATTTGCAAGATTTATTACAAGGTTTACAAAAGCTAATCTTTATTACAATTCTCATACTCTGTGACAAGCTCACGAGCATGTGTAAGATTACTAAGAGGCTCCCAAATTGATTCACAAGATGGGTAACCTTTCCACTTAATTAGATACTCTCGATATTTGGCATGCTTAAGCCAGTGTGTACCCAAAATAGCTTCCAATTCATATTTAGGTTCACCATCCACAACTTTTGGTGGTGGACGAATCTCCACTTGACGTGCATCATCCATAGTGTATGGAGCCAAGAGATTGGCATGAAATACATTATGAATATTAGACATCTCCGCAAGAAGATCCAACAATAGGATACATTACCAATGCGCCTCAACACCCGATAAAGTCCAACATATCTCAATAACAGCTTCCGAGATAAAGATCCCTTAATGTTCAAGTTCTGGAAAGATAGCCACACCTGATCTCCCACTTGATAGGATACATCTCGACGATGCTGATCCTTATCACGTTGATACCTATCCTGAGCTTTGCCCATTGCCTCAGTAACTCTAGACCAACCTTGGCATAGCTGCTCCGCATAAGTCTCAACGGCTGGGACCAACACTTCGAACATTGATTTCGGTATAACAATCTATTGAGGCACTCCACGAGCATTTCCTTGCAGTATCTCCCACGGGGAACAGCCAATAGTGCTATGAAATGTGTTGTTTTAACAAATTTTTGCTGTATTCAAATACTCAACCCAATCGTGTTGGTCCGCCGCGACATAGTACCACAGATAATCCTCAACTTGAGCATTCACGCGTTTGGTCTGCCCATCAGTTTGAGGATGATAAGCCGTATTGAATTTCAGCTTGGTACAAAACAACTGGAACAGTGTGCCCCAAAACTTCCCCATAAACCTTGAATCTCTATTCGAGATCATCTCTTCGGGAAGACCACAAAGTCACACTACTTCATGGAAAAAGAGTTTTGCTGCTTGTTTCGCATTCATTGTTCCCACAGTTGGAATGAAGTGTGCAATCTTCGACAACCGATCCACAACCACCATCAAAGTATCATAACCCTTAGACTTCAACAAGCATGTGACGAAATCAAATGTCACACTCTGAAACAGCCATGCCGGTGTTGGAATGCACTACAACTTTCCAGCCTGCTTCTTAGCTCTACATTTACATTGCTGACATATAGGGCAGAAACAGACATAGTCCGCTACATCACCTTCTATACCAGACCAGAAAAATCCCTTTTTCAATGAAGCTAGAGTCTTTTGCTTTCCACCATGCCCTGCTGCCGAAACATCATGATGTTCCTATAGAAACAACTGCTGCAAATCCTTAGAGGGAAGATACAATCTTTCTTGCTTATAGAATATAAGCCCATCCCGAACTGAGAAGTGAAGCTTTGCATTAGTGCGGTTAGCAACTTTCACTGCCTCGCTACTAGAGTTCTTCTTCGACAACTCCACATGGTATAAGATTGCCTTCGCCAACGGATCACTTCCATACGAAGCCCAAACGTCCTCCAACCAGTCCGAACTGATTGCTGATATTGCCCGGAATTGAGCCTGACGACTCAATGCATCCGGAACAATATTAGCTTTACCAGGTTTATATATGATTTCAATATCATATCTAGTAAGCTTCTTTTGCGAACGAGCCTACTTTGGCATAAGTTTAGGCTGCGTAGCAAAGTAGCTTAGTGTGTTACTATCCGTATAAACCTTGGTGTGTCCACCCAAGTAGTGTTCCAATATTCCAAGGCCGACACTATAGCAAACATCTCTTTCTCATGCGTTGGCCATCTTCATTGGGTCTCATCCAATTTCTTGGAATAGAATGCAACGGGACAACCATGTCGCCTTAGCGTAGCACCAACCGCTTTGTCACAATCTTTCTGCAACACGGCACTAATAGCAAAGCCAGATGCATCACAATGCACTTCAAAGGGTTTATCAAGATCTGGGATCTTGAGAACATGAACGATAGTCAAGATCTCCTTCAACCGTACAAAAGCACGCTAACAAGTTGGTGTCCAATGAAATGGAATGTTACTCTTCGTCAACTCAGTCAACGAAAGAGCAATTCTTGCAAAATTGCGGACAAACTTGCAATAGTATCCTGCCAAACCAAGAAAGGAACGAACATTTGATACAGTGGTCGGGACATCCTAGGACTTCACTGCTTCCACCTTCTTTGGATCAACTTCAATCACGCCACCACCAACTATATGTCTGAGAAAGTTTATGTGCAATTGACTAAAAGCGCATTTACTTTCTTTAGCATACAGTTTGTGTTCGCGCAACTTCTGAAACACCAGCTCCAAGTGTTTCAAATGATCCTCCAACGTTTCACTAAAGACTAGAACATCGTCAATATACAGGACAACAAATGCATCAAAATAATCTCTGAATATTCTATCCATCATAGTGCTGAACATTGCCGGAGCATTGCATAACCCGAATAGCATCACAAGGAACTCATAAGATTCGTACCGAGTCTTAAAGGCTGTTTTCTCCACATCTTGATCTACCACCTGTATCTGATGATACCCGAATTGCAAATCAAGTCGCATAAAATACTTAGCCTTTAAGAGTTGGTCAAACAAGCCATCAATGTGAGGCAAAGGATAACTGTTTTTAACCGTGATCTTGTTAAGTGCCTGATAGTCAATGCACATCCTCATGGTTCCATCCTTTTTCATAACAAAAAGGACTGATACTCCATAAGGTGACTTGCTTGGTCAGATATGACCTTTGTCAAGAAGCTTTGTGAGTTGCTTCTTGAGTTCAGCCATCTCCTTAATGTTCAATCGATATGGAGCCTTTGTAGGTGGTTTAGAACCCGGAATAACCTCAATCTGATGATCAACCTCACGGCTAGGAGGTAACCCTGGCGGCAAATCCTTTGGGAAGATATCCTGATTCCTCACCAACAACTCTAATATCTTTTTTGGTACAGGATCAACCCTATCACCAATTCGAATTGAGTCACCAACACCCTTAGCTTCTATCACTTGAACCCAAAAGGTCTGACATCCCCTTTTAGCTGCTTTTTGAGCGGCCCTCGCAGTCAGAAACTTTGCATCCCAATCCTTTGAGGAACGCTTTTGCAACTGGAAGGACACATCGGGATGTCCTTCGGACTTCAACGTGATACGATTTTGTTTAGCACCATAAATCCCTTTTATATATTTGTTAAAGAAGTCCATACCAAACACCATCTGAAAATTTAGTATCTTCAACACAACCAAGTCCATTCTTTCTTTCCACTTGGATATCTTTATTAGAACATCACTCACAAACTTTCTGGCTACTTGCCCACCTTCCGCAAACCGAAAGTGCATAGGCGACATTTGCTCAGTATTCAATCCTAGCAACTTAACTAGGTCTTCGGATATCACGCTGTGCGTAGCTCCCGTGTCAACCATCACTCGGATTCGGTGTCCACGGACAAAGCCTACCAGATACATTAACAAATCAGTGTTTGCATTGACTGCAAGAAAAACTTGAGGAAAGCAATGAAAGTTACTCACCTCCTCTTCCTCATAGTCTACATTGACCAACTCGTCAACCCCTTTAACTTCATCACCACCGTCTTCCCTCATAATATTAACACGAGACTTTGTCTTATGCTTGTTGGGACATTCCAAGGACCTATGTCCTGACTCTCCACAATAGAAGCAATGACCCACACTACCCGTTCCACTAGGAGCAGGTTTTGTAGGTTGCTGCTACTTATACCCACCAGGAGGAGGAACATAGGGCCTAGGACCAAAAGAAACTGTTGGTGGTCTCCAACCACCACCACCACCTTTGTTAACCATTGTTTGTGAGCCCCCAAAGTGGAACCTGCCTTCCACCCTCTGTTTCCGATCACCTTGTTTATTCCCAGAATTCTTATTCTTATCCGAGTTACCAGCATACGGTTGCTGATATTGTTCCATGAGCGAGTGACTAAAGGCAACTTACTGCACTGCCTCCTTACACTCCAAGTATGTTTTCAGCTTAAACTTCAAAATCTCATTGCAAGAAAATGAACTTAAACCCTCTAGAAAATAACTCCAAGCATCTGGTTTATATGCCCAAAAAGTGCGTAGTCCTTTTGTTCAGTTAACTCTATGATGTCTACCACCTATGCACTCATACACAAAGTTGACTATGAAAAATCACATGGAATAACCAAGTGAATTGAGCTCCACATATCTGCAAGTTAAAACTATGAGAAACATCAACATGTGACCATGTATATACCTCATCTCGATGTCTCCAGAGACAATCACCAAGATGCATAATCACTCTCTCGTCCCCATTAGTTTGGTTAGCTGCCATTATAGCCAGGTTTTCCTGCCATTCTTCGAGCATTCCTTCTGCGTCCTGCAAGTCAACATGCACTCCTTAAGCAAGAGAGTAGCTTGATAAAAGTATTTCACCTGTGTTGCACCATCTACAGCAGACGCTGGAACCGGTTGAGGTTGAAGCGCTGTTACATTCGACAAATTAGTGTTCCCTACAAACACTCCGGCATGTTGACCAGCATAAAGAAGAGTTAGAGTCCAGAGGGGAAACCCTGGTTGAAACTGACATTGAGCCATCTCCGCTATAGTGTCAGTGTAGAACTATTAAAAACCACAAGACCATCACTAACAGTCTATACATCAAAGCTACAAGACAAGGTACCTTCTCTCCCAGCTGCCGGGCCATAAGAAGAGCACATCCCCAAAGTTGCCCGTCTTGAGCAGCCCGTAAAGCCTCTTTCTGCTTTCCGGCAATCAGTAGCCTTTTCACCTCAAATGCAGTTGCCTGTCGCCAGAAAGTCTTCGTTTGTATCAACTCAAGAGAAAAAGACTGCCCAACCTGCATTTGCTGTTCGGTTGGAGTTGTCTGTAGACAGCGAGAGCCAAAAGCCCATGACTCTACATCGCGCTCCTCCTTTATGTTCTCAAACAAAGCCTCGGCTTCATTCAAATGCCCTTTCCTGGCAAATGCTGTGACGAGGACAGTCTGCGCAACGATCGTCTTCACGGGCATCCGATCAAACAAATCCTTGACAGAAGCTATCTTTCCACTGCGGATGCAAAGCGTGATCATCACATTCCAAGAGATCTCGTTCTTCTCTGGAGCCAATTCGAAAACCTCTCGCGCTTTATCAAGATGCCCGTTGTCGGCATATGCCGTGACGATCGAGTTCCACGTCGAGGCATCTCGCCGGAGCATCCCATCGAACGTTCTGCGCGCTCGATTTAGATCTTTCGCCTGTGCGTAGGCCCGGATCGTGATGTTGGAGGAGAAGAGCTTAGGATTCTCTATGGATTCGAAGATTGCACGGGCGTCATCGACGCTGCCGCATTTGCCATACATCTGGACGAGCAGATTCGCGAGGTATTTGTTGCGGCGGTGCTCGCTCTGCGCAATGCGGGCGTGGATTTGCGTCCCCTGTGACAGATCCCGGCAGTTCTTGAGCAGTGCTCCCCAGGAGAGCAAGCAATCCTCTGAGGTGTCTGTGGAAATCACGAAATTGGGGAAGAGCAATGCCATAAACTTTGCTGGATCTCACACGCATTCGCGATTCGCGAGGTATTCTTTGCGAGAATCCGGGCGCGACCTCCACAGCTCTTGAGAATCCTGGACGGAGAAAGAACATTCCAATCTGGAGATCACAGCTAAGAAGAAGAAGATAATCCATCTTGCCTTGCAAGAACAAGGACACCCTGGAAGAAGCAAAGATTTTACTCTCTGGTGAGAATTCCTCTACTCCACTACTCCACTGGGCTTATAAGATTGGCTCTCTCCTCCATTCTCTATAGCAATGAATTTCCATCTCTCTTTCTTGCTCCTCGAGATACTAGTGTTCTTGAGAGCTGTCGCCCTAAATTCGCCCCCACCGCTCACTCTCCGCCCAATTCCCTCATGGCGCAAGCTCCAGTTCCACTCGCGCCGCCTCTCGATGTTCTTCCACTTCGGCGTCAACACATTCACGGACTCGGAGCGTGGATCCGGCCACGAATCGCCCTCCATCTTCAACCCGGAGCGATTGAATGCGTCGCAGTGGATGGAAGCGGCCCAATCCGCGGGCGCGCAGCTCGTGATCCTCACGGTCAAGCACCACGACGGGTTCTGCCTGTGGCCCTCGGCCTACACCAATTTCTCCGTGGCTAGCAGCTCTTGGCGAGGAGGGAAGGGGGATGTGGTGGCCGAGTTCGTGGCCGCCGCCAGGGAGCGTGGATTGGACGTGGGCTTTTATCTCTCGCCATGGGATTTGCACGAGAGCTGCTATGGCGACACTCTTCTCTACAACGAGTTCTACTTGGCTCAGCTCCGAGAGCTTCTTACTGGGTGAGTGAGACATTCTTTGCTTCTTCTTCACGCATTTTTCTTGGTGGCATGATCACTGTGTGATATGTTTGCATTTGCTCCAGCCCATCAAACGGTTTTAGCATTAGGAACTCGCGAGCTTGTGGGCTTTTGTAGTTTTCATCTCTAGCAGCAGATGCCTTGACGCGGCATTTTGTTTTGGCCTGCAGATATGGGCCGATCTCCGAGGTGTGGCTGGATGGTGCGAAATCACCCACTGCAGTGAACATGAGCTACGATTTTGAGCTCTGGTTTGACACGATTCATCAGCTGCAACCCGGTGCCAACATCTTTTCCGACGCTGGCCCTGACATCCGATGGGTTGGGAACGAGTATGGCGAGGCCGGACAACCATGCTGGGCGATGGCGAACAGATCTTCCATTACGATAGGCAGGAGCGATGGCCAGTACGTAAATTCCATCCTTGCATGAAACTTTTGTTCTCGTGAAACTCGATCCAATTCGCAACATCAACAGGTACTTGATGTCTGGAGAGAGTGCTGGAACCGACTGGCTCCCTCCGGAGTGCGATATGTCCATCAGGCCCGGTTGGTTTTGGCACAGGAACGAGGCTCCAAAATCCCTGGAGCAGCTGCTCGACGTTTTCTACAAATCATCCGCCAGGAACTGCTTGCTCCTGCTCAACGTCCCTCCAAACTCGTCGGGACTGATCGACGAATCCGACTTCCAGACGCTGGAGCGGTTTAGCTCCGCCATAGATTCCATCTTCAGCGTCAACTTAGCAGCGAATCCCTTGTCCGTGACAGCAAGCAGCGTTCGCAGCTCTTCGTTCGGGCCGAAGCAAATCCTTGACGAGCGTATGGAAACTTTCTGGGCTCCAATGCAAGGGGAGTCGACTGGCTGGATCGAGCTTGATCTTGGCAAGGTCTCAAAGTTCAACGCACTGGAGATCCGAGAGCCAGTAAACATGGGACAAAGGGTAAAGGAATATCATGTCGAGGCATGGGACAGCGAGCTGGGCTGGTACCTGGTGAGCAACGGTAGCACCATTGGTTACAGGAAAGTGGATCGACTGGAAGAGGATCAAGAATGTGCTGCTCGGCTCGTTCGACTGCTGATTGACGCGTCGCGGGGAGATCCATTGATCTGCTTCTTTGGTTTGTACTTCGATATGTACAACCTCAGGCACTTGTCTTCTATTTAGAAGAGAAACTACAAGAGGATATGTATATTTCTTTTCAGGTATGAGAAACATAGCTTTGGGTTGGAAATCCCTGGCCTGATCAATAACAGTCTCTTTGCATCACTCCTAACAGATTGGAGCCTAGAGAACAACCAAAGAAAATCAAGAGCTAGCCCTCTACCCTTTGAGCTCGTGGAAAGTACCCTTGCATGGAGGTGGCAGCTGGTTAAACTTGAGAAGTTAGCTTGTCTGGAGGACCTCCTGTTGCTCCTGCTTCCTTGCCACAAAATCACACCTGCAAACACATGTCCAAACATTGAACTAGTACTTCTCAGATTTAAAAGCTTTGAAAATACATTAGAACATCTTTTTGCCATGTAGTCAACGTGATGACCATTATTAAAATGATTTTAATTTATAAACACAAAATTATTCTAAATAAATATCAACAATTAAATTATAGAATATTCAAGAATACCCAGGTATATCCTATGTTAGTTTGCTTAAGCAAACAAAAAATATAGTGCCTAAATTGAAGAAATACTCAAAGGTGTAAATGACTATAACTTAACTGAAGCCATAAAAGATAGGTATTGCAAATACTAAACAGGTCATACACCTTGTGGGTGTTCTTTTGCAAATAGCCTGCAGAAAAAAAGCTATTAAAATAAATATATAACACTTTTTCTCCATCTAGCATGCCATAGAGGACAAAGTAGCAATCTATTTAAATTATAACTCAATGTAGATTAAAATCACTAAAGGATGATCCTAACGATTCAAAACAACTATTATACTTGCCTCAAAAAGCTAGCAATATTCTAATCTGAATACCAATCCTGGATTTGCAATGATGCTAGACTGGAAGATTAAAGGGAACTGAAGTATATCTTTAGTTGAGTCTAGTATTCCTAAGAGTTTAAGAATGATTAAGATTGTACTCCAATATGTTAGTTTTGAAAATTTTCATATACTTATATTCCATGATATTGGAAGAGAAGGGAATAGATTGGTCACGAAACATTGAACAAGTGCTAGTTGCCATTGAAGAAGCAATATTGCTCTATACAACAACATTATATATAAAACTCCACCCTGCAGAATAGAAAGAAAGTTTTCAAAGGGAATGGATAAGTAGGAAATGGCACTTGTGATATTTCTTATTTCCAATGGGGAGAATTGTTTGGGATGTTCAGCATCCCTGATTGCTATGCTAGATAATATGTTTGATAACATATGTCAAACTTCTCATCATCAAATTACTTAACTATCCTTCATTATGCATATATTAATTCCTAAAGCTCTCCAAGGATTTGGTTCTTGACAGATTATGGCATTGACTTTGCGGAAGATTTGATAAATTTCCTTGTAAAATCGCCTTGCATACATGCTTTGCAAAGAACAATCCAGTCAACATAGATTAAGCCCATCATAAAAGTGGGCCAATTGTCTTTAAACTTAATTCTCTGTATCAACATCCAATGAAGCCTTTGTAAATGCTAGCCATCAACGAATGGGCTGAGGCCCAGCTCCAGCAACATGCTGTGCAATGCTTCGCAAGTGGAGAGGATACCATATGGAACACAGAGAGGAGAACATATGAAGCATGTCGGGAGGCAACCAGGGAGATAGGATACGCAATGGGAACGAGCTATCACCTTACTGCAATGAGCCCATCTCCACCTGCGCCTCAAACGCAAGCTTTCCACACCACTACTTCCCACTTTCAACAAGAGCTCATGAGAGACTTCCACAGCTCACTCTCACCGGCATGGTCTTGAGAATCTGGATTACCACGCCTAGCATGGCACTGATGTGGAGCAGAAGGAGCGCAGTGCTGCTGCTGAAATTCACAACAGCAGCATTGGATTTTACATTGCTGACTATAGCAAACCCACTGCACTTAACATTCCAGATGCATGGGACACCACGGACTCATACGCGAGAGGCGGAGGACTATGCTCCTCATGAAGACTCTCCTATGCTCAATCCTCTGTGCGTCCCGCTCTCCATCCATGGGGGATGGGGTGGCTCACGGAATGGCTGGATATCAACGATCGATGTTTGGGTCAACACATCAAGTCTGAACTGCTCTGAAGATGTTCTCCAGCATCACATAAGGCAATGCATCACTCACAAGGCTGGACTGGCACGTAAATTCCGCAGCATGCATCCCTCGATTCATCTCCCCGTGGTTTTTACACGCGGTAAGAAACGTTGCCCATGCAACTCCATCAGCTGGCAAAGGCATATTCTCCAGGACATCCTCGGCCTCTTCCAATTGCCCTAGCCGTCCTAGAGCATCAACAATGCAGGTGTAGTGGTCTTGCGAAGGGCCCAATCCATTGTCAAAGCTCATTGCCGTGAAGTAGCTTACTGCTTCCTTGACGAGCCCCAGATGGCTACACGCCGTCAAAACGAGGGCAAACGCTGCCTTGTCGGGATCAAAGCCGTGAAGAAACATCGCCCAAAAGAGCTGGATCGCAGAATACGCATGGCCGGTCTGGGCATATGCTGCTAGCATCGTGTTCCAGGAGACCAAATTCCAAGTTGGTATTCTATCAAACGTCTTCTTTGCCTCACAATTATTTGCATCTAAAGCGTATACCACGAGAATTGTGTTCCATGAATAGGAATCCCAGCAGCAACACAAAGAAAACGCTCGTATAGCGTCTTTGAAACGACCTCTCTGGGCATAAACAGCGATTATCGCGTTCCATGAAACAAGATCTCTGTGTGGCATTTCTTCAAACAATTGTTTTCCTTGATCAGCGTCACCTTTTTGCGCGTATGACTTGATCATAATCGTCCACGAAAGCATGCTGTGCAGAGGCATCCTATTAAACAAACTCTAGGCTTGAATCAAATCCCCATTTTGGGCATAGCAGCAGTGCATCGCCCCCCAGAGGATTGCGTTTCGGTGGACAATCTCCTGGAAGACATCCTTCGCCTCCTCCACGAATCCATTCTCTGCAAACATGACGAGCATCACCGCGTGAGTGATGCTGTTCTTCTCGGGCATGGAATCAAACGCGGCTGTCGCATCGCCCACTCGCCCGCGCTGCGCGAAACCCTGCACGAGGATCGTCCACGCTACCACATTCGTCTCGGGCATCCAATCCAGCACCTCTCTCGCTCGCCCAATCTCTCCGCCGCGAGCAAATCCCCGC